ATAGAACTATTCCTTGGCTTATTTATCTTAATTTTAGAATAGAGATTACGTGTGCAATTCAAATATTTAGGTCTATACAGGAAACTTATTTCTACAAGTGATTGATTTAGTGAGAATACGTTCAGGTGGAAAATATTATTTTTTATTTCATAAAATATAAAGAAAAAACTGAAAGTAACACTTCATACGTTCAAAGCGCATTTCTGTATTAAACTTCATTAGGAACGCTCAAAGCCGAATATTTCAAAGACAAGGATATATAAGAAACGAAACAGTTAAAGAGCTATTTGACCAAAAAGGACTAAAAATCGTTGATTTGTTGATAGTGTCTGTGTTTTTCGAAATAAAGTAATTTATTACCATTAACTATTTTGTAGCCTGAATTACTATTTCATACCATAGATTTAGCATTTCAAACCATCAACAGCAACCATTTCCTTCCATTAAGTCCAGATACTTGTATAATATTTCGTAGCGTATTTTTTGTAAGTCATTAAAATTTGTACTAGCACTGGTTTTGGTGTTATTTAACAGATTAAATATTAACAGGAGTATGTGTCTATAGGAAAACATGACACGACACATGTTCCGCCCACACTTTAGTTTGTCCATACTCACTGAACTATTAAATCATTGACAAAATCGTAATTTGTCATATAATATAAAAGTGCACCTCGCAATGTACATATGTACCAAGTTTCAAGTTGATGTTACCAAGACTTCAAGATAACTACCATAACCAAAAAACTTACACATGAGAGTTCACTAATATTTCACATTTCTATGTACAGTGAACCATGTATTTGTTGTCGTCGACACCGTTCTTTGTCATACAATATAGAGTTCATATCATATTGAATATATGATCATAAGTAATAGTACTAAGTTTTAAGTTGATTTGATCTTCATGGGAAAATTTAGAATGGAAACGAGGAATGTGTCAAAGAGACAACAACCCGACCAAAGAGTAGAAAACAGCCGAAAGCCACCAATGGGTCTTCAACACAGCGAGAAAATCCCGCACCCGGAAGCGGGCTTCAGCTGGCCCCTAAACAAAATAAACTACTTTAACCAGAAACTTTAGCCCAATACGGGATGGATTAACGAACTAACAGACGCCCATACCAGAAAACATAAAACTTTTAGCGTATGCGGGTCATACAAATAAGAAATACCATAATATCTGTCAAATATCAAATAAACCCTCCTTTCTAACTAATCTAGGAGTGAGGTTTTACAAATGTATAGTGCTTTCACCTCATCCGTCTGTGCATCCTTCCGTCTGTCTATTCGTCCAACAAATATTTCCGTCTAAATTTTCTCATGTACTACTGAACTGAATGACTTTATACTTGACCAACAGCCTGACTGTGGTCAGTTGTAACGTGAGGACTCTAGTCAGATTTGGTAGACGAATACTTTCTGTTTGCCAGAACTTTGTGTTTTAAAAATGTTGAATGAACTTAAAATAATTAGTCATATTTTATTTTAAAATACACCAGAACATAAGAACGTCATTCTGATTTAGCAGATTGAAAAAGATGAATTGTCACGTGTGAGCACTTTTCGGATCTATCAGTTACACACTTTCTGTTTGCTGATACTGATTTTTTTTTCTCAAAATGCGGACTACAAAATTATTTTCATTTACTTGTGTTTAAAGTAATTGCAAATGGCTGATATTTTTGTTCAAGCATATTGTTTTTCTTAAATTGTTTAACATTTCACAGCGGTATAACATGTAACTTTAATTATTCTTCCCTTAGATTATTAATTTTGTATTTACATTGTATCATAGATCAAATCTATTTGTTCAGTGTATGTTCACTGGTGTTAATATGTCTTTTGATTGAGTTAAGCCATTTCAATTGATATTTTATAGTGTGTCTTTCTATGTTGTGATGTTACACCATTGTTTCAGATAAGGGTGAAGGTTTGGTACCATTAACACGTTTAAACCCGCTGCAATTGTTTGCACCTGTCCTAAGTCAGGAATCTGATGTTCAGTAGTTGTCGTTTGTTGATGTGATTCATAAGTGTTTCTCGTTTTTCGTTTTTTATATAGATTAGATCGTTGGTTTTCCCGTTTGAATGGTTTTACACTAGAAATGTTTGGGGCCTTTTATAGCTTGCTGTTCGGTGTGAGCCAAGGCTCCGTGTTGAAGACCGTACTGTGACCTATAATGGTTTACTTTTATAAATTTTTACGTGGATGGAGAGTATCTCATTGGAACTCATACCACATCTTCTTATATCTAATGAATGAATATTTTTCGTCAAGCTTTTCTCCAGAACTTTTTAACAGAATGACTTCATATTCAGTCAGTAGACTGACAATGAGAAATTGTAAAGTTTGATGAATTTCAGGATATGCAATTATTTTGTTTAAATGTATTACTGATCCTTTCCACGAGGTAAAGGATTTTTTTATACACAGTTCAGATGATTGATATAGCTGGTTTAAACTCATATTTCATAACACGTGTCTAAATATACAAGTGCATACTTAATTCAATTTGATTATATTTTAACAGTTTGCTACTTTGATGATTGTGGCGGCATGCACGTTCATGTAGTTGATCTATACGGTATTTAATGGCATACCCATAGTTACTCTGTTTAGAACGAAATGGAATACACGACGTTAGTACATGTGGTACGAAATTGTAATTCCGACGGTTTTCTTTTATTTCGAAAGTGGTCTATATGGTACGAAATGGTATATCTGGTTGCGGCCTACATGGCATAAAATGAGATGCCTGCATTCGGCCTACATGTTACGAAATAGAACGAAACGACAGGCCTGAGTGCGGATACAATGCCTGAATTGACATGTCTGCATGCGACCTATTGCATGAAACGGCATGCCTGCATGCGGACCACTTGGTATAACATTGAATGAATATGTGTCATATATACAGAGGGAAATTTCATGCGTAATATTGCATATGGTATAAGTTGCTCATAGAACTAAATAGTAATGGTACGAAATAGGTTTTGTTATTGTACACAATGGTCATGTTTTGAAAAACTATAATTCGTGTTTATCAATCCATGGAACTTGCATGCTAGTACATCTACCAAAGAGTTCCACTCAAACCAGTGATAAGTTTGACTTGAACTTGCATTATTATTTGTCCTCTTGCTCCGTGTCGAACATCTCAGTGTCAATATCAGATAGACATCAGAGGTAAAAGCAGTCTTGTTTGCTTTCGGTTTTGTTAAGTGAGTTTATCGATTTTATGTCAATGATTAATGCACTGCATATAGGTTTTTTCTCATTAAATGAGCACAGAACAAATACTTTATTGTCGTGTATATCAAAAAGAACTGTGACAAAATTATCAGAAGCAGAGAGAAGAAAACCAGGAGACACAGATCAGCAATCAACAAGTACAAGGTTTTGCTAGCAACGACCAAGACATGTTTTGCAAATTGTTGGTCAATAAAAGCAAAATTTGCATTTTTTGTTTCTAAAGTAAATTCGTATTTCAAAAGACATCTCAAATAGAGGAGGAACATTTTATATCACAACAACCATGTCATTGTCACTTACAGTATCACTGAATAAACACAAGCAACATACAACAGAGGGAGGTACATTTTATATCCAAACAGCCATGTAATTGTCACTTACATTATCATTGATCAAACAGAAGCCACATAAAACAGAAGGGGACACATTTTATATCACAACAGCCATTGCATTGTCACTAACAGCTTCTTTAATTGAACACAAGCGACCTAAAACAGAGGAAGGTACATTTTATATCACAACTGGCATGGCACTGTCACTCACAGTATCGTTGATTAACACAAGCCACCTAAAACAGAGGGATGTACATTATATATCACAACAGCCATGACATTGTCACTTAGAGTATCATTGATTGAACACAAGCTACCTAAAACAGAGGGAGGTACAGTTTGTATCACAAAAGCCATGCCATTGTCACTTACAATATCATTGATTGAACATAAGCCACCTAAAGCATAGGGAGGCTTGGTTTATATCACAACAGTCATGACATTGTCACTCACAGTATCATTGATTGAAATACAAAAACAATAACTTGTCCAGAACTATTGAGTAAGAGACTTGAAATATAAGCTGATCAAAAGAGCATGACATTAAGGTCAATAATATATAACATATGCCAGACAGACAATGTATACAACAAACACTGTTGACCTATCATATGGAGAACATGATTTGTAGGGTACACTTCGATGAGACAGCAACTCAATGATCAAACACATAGCAACTCACTGCATTGACAAAACAAGGTTAAACAATGTCCCATGTCCAATGGGAAGTGATTTCAACCAGAAAATAATTAAAATTCACTTAACCCTATGGAAAGTTTCAACATCAAGAGAACCTGGTTCAAGCCACTTAACTTACAAATGAAGTGTTTGCACAAAGAACGATGATGAATGATATAACTATTATCTGTACCATAAACTGTTTTCATTTGTCTCATCGTTACACCTGCTATTTTCCAGTGCTTGCTTTTTGGCCTTTTAATTACATTGAAATCCAGAATGCATGGTACTTTTTCTTTAATTTATACCTGTAAATACCCAAATAGTATAGTCATCATAATATTTTACTCTACGTTAGCAAGAATACAGAACTGGTCTTGACATTTCTGGTTACCGAATTAACGTAAGTGTAAAGATCGAAATCTTCTGTATTAGCAGGACCTATTAAATGTCAGAATAATACCACTGCGTTTTGTTTTTATAAATGCATGTTTAGTTGTAATGTACGCACCCTCTGGTCCATAATAATCTGCTGCTGTAAGGCTATCTAGTTTATGAAATAACAGCATGGTGAGTGTGTATTGTGCTTTTATAACATGGATCCCTAACTATTCATTCCAAGCATTTTGAAAACTGGGTTTTAGCTAGCTCCACAACTTTTTTTTAAAATTCGTTGGTTTCAATGAAAGAAATTCAATGCAAAACGCTAAATGTAAATCGAATTTTTTGCAACATTAAGTGTAATCCAATCAACATGATCAGCATCTAGTATGGTATGTCATATAATAATGTTATGTTTACAAATATGAACATAAGGTACAATTTGATATACATGTTACATGTATGAAATGCCTATACTTTCTGACAACAGTCTTTAAAATCACACATAAAAAACTTCTTGTTTGAAATAAGTGTCATATCAGTCAATTTACCTTCTTACAGTTAAATCATAAAAGAAATTAAATTAAAGTTCTGCAACCATATCATTTCTCATCAATTACATGAATTAGACACATTTATCACAAATTAAATGACAAATGTCAGGACGAAATTTACTGTGTAACACAAACTAGTGACAAATGATGAAAACTAACTCCATATCAGAATATTGCATCACCAAACTAAACTTTCAACCATTAACGCCAATTGATATTTGCATACGTTACTATATACAGAGTTATTTCCTATTTAAGAGAAACATTGTACAAAAAAGTGCAGATAACGCATGGCAATTTTTATTTTTGGAAGGTCTTGAACAGCAGACAAAAATAGAATAATACTTCTTAATCAAATATGATTCCAACAAATAAAATTATCAAAATATTAAATAACAAGTTCTTTAATAAAAAAAAACATTCCAAACAATTTTTTAAATTGCTTGATGTGAGAAAAAAAATAAATAGTGAACAAAAGGTAGTATGGAAGTTAAAACGATTAAAATAGGTGACTGCCTGCTACAGCTGCTGTCATTGTAAAAGTGTAATTTTGACTTAAAAAACTAAGTCCACTTATCAGAAAAAAAAAATAGAAAAGAAAAGGAAATACATTAAGATGTGTGATCTAATAATTTTGAAGAAGCAAATGTGTCAGTGTTTTGTAAATCTAATAACGACAAAGTTAAACAAGTTGAAACCAAATCTCTTGATTATGAAGACGTTTCTGTTAAAGTTTCCGTTAGTTCTCTGAACGTTTGAAATATGGTACTCATGTTTTGTCACTGTATCTAACTTAAGGTCAACTAAACAAAAATCTAAGTCCCTTTATCAGTAAATGTTTAAAGGTAAAACATATCTAAATTTTCTTTAGTTACTGGCCTTCGATGAGGAAGCTTCTGTTCAAGTTTTCAAAACTTATATCACAAAACAATTTCTCCGTCTCATGCAACTCTACGTTTCGGTATGATGATTGTCTTATACTTCCCCTAAATAATATTTATATCTGGAAAATATCTTTATGGGGAGCGTTCTTGCTAATATCAAAATATCAATGTAAAGATCTCAAAATGATGCTATCTCGACAGTTTTTACTGTTTTGCAATAAATGCAAGAAGTGTGAAGTTTAAATGTCAATACGTAAGAACAAACTCAAAAATATAACTACTAGTGTCCGACAAACAATTGTCCTGTAAACTTCGATGCATTGTTATTTAGTAGATTTAAAATACTTTTTAACTTTCGAATTAAGGTGTCAAAAAGAGGCATTATCATACCTTATTCATTGTTCAAGCTACAGAGTGTGTAAAAATTACAAATTCTATAAAAATTGTACATTGAAAAATCATAGCTAGGTGAATGTGACAAAGAATAAAGGCCAAATGAAAAATCAATATGGCACTTCATATGAAATACACCAGAAATATAATAAATAAAAAGATAATTGGGTCGTTGTATTTGTTTCCTTTTTTTGTTAAAGAAACAAAAAAAATCAAATAAAAAAAATATAAGCTAAAATATCTTCCCTTGAAAAGGAGCCTTCAAAATTTCTGGAATCAATCAAGACGATTGGTTATTCAAAACAAAAACTATCATCATGCTAGCATCAATTTCTTTCTTTATGAGATTTTGTTATAAATAAATTACATTCCCTCATAAAAAAAAATTGTATTTCATTACATATCTGGACTGATAATTTGCTGTAATTTGTTATCTAAAATCATGAAAGACTCCTATAAAATCCTAATTTCTTTAATATCTTATGGAAGTGTTTGAGCAGTGGTTAAATTAAACTTATGACACGAAATTTGCTGTAAGTGAACATCCTCATACCAGGATTCTCTTTTTTCTTCTTGCTCTTGATACTGCTATGGTACAAGGGGCTCAGTTTCCAGTATTTGCCACTTGTACCAATGTAAAATTTGCAAATCCATCTTCCTTTTAGAACGTTTTCCCGCTGTAATATTTTGCAATATTTATTAACATATTATTGACTACAGCTGGGACTACCGTTTCCTTTTCTTTTTTTCTTCAAAGCATTATCTGCAAATAAGTCAACAGTCAATAAAATTCTAATCAGATCATTTAGTAAACATAGAAACAAATAGTCAACTCCTGACCGAACAACACTGATAATTAAATCATGCCCTATGCTCATTGTTGTCTTAATGTGTTGTTCTGTCACTCGTTGGCTATTTTTCTATTTCTGGATTAATGATTTTAAAATTTACTAACCGTAAATACAGCTTTCAATGAATAGTTGTAAATTAAGCAATGCCCATGTAAACAAAAAAGAGTTGGTGCCTTAGCTGTATAGTATCTCTTTGGCAAATTTATGACTTGCTAATAAGCTCATTGGTTCCATCAAAATGAGCATACAGCATGACATTTATTTCCAATACTTATGTAAAAATTCAATACTGCTTTTATTTAAAATGGACATATAAGAAATGTTCGAATGCTGCAATTTTGATTAAACCATTTATACAAGAGTGCACCCAATGTAATGTCTCGCCTACTTTCACGAATGAATTATGTTGAAAGTCTGTAATTAGAAGATTCTCATAACCTTAACATTTACATTGACCCATGTAAACGAGGTCAATGTCAAATGAACTCTACCAGACAGACATGTACATCTTACAATCATACCATATGTGTCTCCAAATATGTTAAGACTATCAATAATATTATCCGAGAAACAGACCTAATTACGAAGATTGAATATTGACCAATGACCAATAAAAATGAGGTTAATGTCAGATGAACACAGAAATACTTACATTCACATTTTACTATCTTATCATGCACCAAATATAGTAAGACTGTTGCTAATAGTACTTTAGCAACAGATCTAATTACGAAATTGTAGACCTTACAAGGATCCTATATACCAAACATAGCTATCCTATAACGCATAATCAAAACGTATTTCATTTGTCTAAAAAAGAACTACTTTATTTCAATCAGTCACTTAACCAAGAAAATGAGGTAAAAAACAGTTATGTGACTTTTGTCGCTTGCTAGACAACAACAAAAAAAACACAACCATTTCACAATTAAAAACTGTAAAATTCAGAGAGAAATTACTTTTTTCCCGCCTCAACGAAATAGCAAAGGAGAGACATTTTGCTGCAGTGTCGGCGACGTCAATAATTTGTTAGAATTTGTGTTTAAGTAAGTTTGAATACACTTGCAATTTGTTCAATGTTTTTTGGAAGTAGGAATTGATATTTGACAATTTACAATGACAGGTCCTTGATATTCTTTTCTGAGTTATCTTGCGGTCATATGTAAGGGGTCATCAATAGTTAGCTTACAATTGATTTATTTACCTTTTATTATTTCCCTAAGTCTGGCAAGTGGAATATCGTCATCGGACTCACTTGAATCTAGTCGCCTCTTTCTGCTGTAGCTACTTTTTGGGCGATCTCGCTTTTTTCTTGCTGAAGAGAACAAATAGGACACATTTAAAAATGTGAATACATTCTGTATATTCATAAAATCTCTCCATATACATATATATAATATAGTAGTATTAACTGGCTGTTTCTGTAAAGGCCCTGGTATATATTTAAGGGAAGGTGTATTGGCCCTACGGCTCCAGTGAGTCTAACCCAAGATAACTTATTGATCCCGGCCTGTCATTGTAAAATAGTTGCTGCTTACAAGGAAGTCATTAAACCAAGAATTCCAAGTGGTGAAATTGAAATCATCTCCTCGTAAGTTTTACGGACGCCATCACGAGTTGGTTGACCGTTTGTCAGTTTATTTTCGACTTATGAGTTTGGATGTCTCTCTGGTATCTTTCGCCTCTTTTTTAGAAACTCACCATTAAGTACATTGTAGGTACAGGAAATCACATTTGAACGTCCCTTTTCCCAGTCACGACGAATTGTCATATTGTCATGCTGTTTCAATATTGGTGATATTTCTCATTTCCAGTCCAGGTACTTAATCTATGCTAACGCAATTCATTTTATATAGCAAAAATAAAGTAATTTGGAAGAACAAATCAGACATTATACCATTCACATTCTTAACCATGTTAACGCCTGCGTTCATGTGTTTTTCATTGACGGAAATGAAACAATAACGATCCATAAAGAATTTTACTCGGAAAAATTGTGTCATTTAAAATTAAAAATGTGTCTTATTTCTTTTGAATAGTCCATAATTTGCTGAAGGGTAAAATATTTGCAACCAGAAGTGAAAATCATGTATTAGACCATTGGCCAATACGTTTTTTTCCCGTATTTGACCGGACCGAAACCAATATCAACACATGATTTATATCAACAGGGAGACGTCAGCTGTATTGCGCATTGGAAGTTACTGCTAAGCGTAGGAACTACTTTGTTTAACATATACACTACATTCTTGTATGTTCTTTCCCACCGGGCCCGAATTAGTAGTTTTATACCTTTACATTAAAACTAGTATTTTTTCTTGCATGCCCATTGTAGCTTAATCTGTTAACTGAAAAATGAATTATGGCCTTCATTCGTAATGAGGTTGATGTATCAATATATCAAAGATACCAAGAACAACTGCATTAACAGGCATTAAGTAGATGAAGCATATGGGCTTACTTTTAAAAAAATTACAAAGCATCATGAGTCCTTTCCCTTTATTTAATCATTTAAGTCCAAGAACAGCAAATGAATAATTAAAATTAAAAAGTAGCATTAAAAAAATTCATGTAATTAATTGGATGAGGCATGTCGGGAATTATTAAAAAAAAACTTTGAGTAAGACACAATAAAAAAATAGTTTATTCTAAAAATATAACTTCGCATAACTTTTGACAGAAAAATATAATAAAGAGCTGTCACACCAGCGCATGATACGCCATGTTTTTTTAACATTGTAATTGTGTAACATTTCAATAATACAAACTTCAGTATAGGGTTGGTAGTAATTTGATCCAAGCTTACACTAGCTAGTGCGTAACATGTGAAAAGTCATCTAAAATCTGACACTTAAATTCCCATAACTCTGAATAAAAATCCGAAAATATTTATAATAATTCTTTTCTCTACCAATTCCAACAACTTTGTAAAGTTTCAAGCATTTTAAATTCAGATATATGCGCATGTATTATCTATTACATTTGTTGAACAATGGACAATTATGCTAGTTTAATTTTGTTATGCCAGGAAATGGTGCATACAAATAACATGAATTATGCTCCTTTTTGATTTGCTATCAGAAATTCGAATGCATGTTTTTATATTTGCGAAATCTATGCAGTCGCATTTTTGCAATAATAAATAAAGGCAACATTAGTATACCGCTGTTCAATAGTCATAAGTCGAAAAAGCGAAAACAAATCCGGGTCACAAACAAAAAACGAGGGAAACACATCAATTATACAGGAAAACATCGGAACAACAGAAACACTGATCTGCTACAAAAACAAACACCAACATACATAGAAACGGATTATTTGATAACAACTGACATATTCCTGACTCGGTACAGGACATTTTACGAAAACATGGTAGGTTGAACACCACAAAATTCTTGATTGACAGTAAACCTACATGTATCAAAGTATTCTAAAACTCATATATACAACATGTGAACAAAATAGATAAAAAACTAACAGTGAAAGACCTTTAACTGTGGAATTGCGAACAAGAAAAATTACAAAACAAAAGATAGTTTCCTATAATCAATCCCACAACCTACAGTTTGCGTGAATCAATCTAAGTATACTCTTGTAAGAATACTATATGAAAATTTTTTGGCTTACAACATACGTTAAGTCCGAAACTCTGGAACGACAAATAACACAAATTGAAATTAAATTAAATTGAAAATTTTTCGTTAAGCCGATAGGTAAAGTCCAGTAAATCTATAACGACAGACCTATCAATTTTCATTAATTTTATGATGGATATTAATCTTCTGGAAGAGTTAAATTATGTAAAGGTGTTCCGATTATCGATTTTATTCGAAACTCGATCAATTATTGAAATACACTTTTACTAACTTCTACGTCATTTGGTCTACGGTATAAGTTGTCTAATTGAAGAAAAATCTTTCCCGTAAATCTATAGCGACATACCTACCAATTTTTAAAATTGAAAGGGAGCTTTCTTTCATCAATCCCACGGTTGTGTTAAAATTTCACGAGAATTGTGAAGACCAAAGACTAGTAGAAGTTCCTGTGTATGTTTATTGCACAAATGTTGGAATGTCAGGGTATATTTTCGTTTCCTGCTTCACCAAGTTTGTAGACTCTAGGCGCTACCGTGTTTTCACTTCCACACTGAAGAGGGTTCAAGTGCTACCATTGGTCAAAAATAATTTATTCGGAATGGGCGTGACTTTAATCAACGGTTTTTACCGATAGACGGCGCAACATTGTTATCATAAATGTTGGCTCAATCTGCCAAGGGTGGAGAGAAGGGGAGTGGATCGTAACCCTTGGCTAGCAAAGATGGTATTTTGTATGATGAGTTAAGATAGATATATGTTAAACTTAAATTCTCAACTGAGTGGATTTGAAAAAAAAAACATTAACTTGTGTTTTTGCCATATATTTATATTTGTGTAAAATAATTTCATGTCACGAGCAATATGGATGTGAAGTTAGCAGCCGGTTCGTTATTCGATATTCGATTTTCAATATCTTACCGGCTGCTAGCAGTCGGTTCGATATTCAAATTTAGTTGAAAATCATAAAAAAATATAATATTTGATAACATTAAAAGCATGATTTTCATAGTTGAAAGGAGTGAAAAGATACGTAGGAAATCGTTTTATGACCCCTTCAAGTTGTCTTAAACTCTCGTTGTCCTCGAATGTAAACCCTTATCAATGCTTATGTAAGTTGCATATTTGTCTTAATGTTATATGAAAAATAATTAAAAAAAAATACATCAAAACTGTAATACTACATGTATATCTAAAATTTCTTAAAACTAAAACCGATCACACTAGAAACATTTAGAAATATAAATATAAATATATATGAAAAGCCCAAATATATAGCAAAAACCTACCTGAGACCACTTAAATGACGGTGAGACCCCCTCTGTTCTTTCATTGTCCATAAAATTCGACGAATTCATAGCCTCTGTATATATAATGATTGTGTCAAAAAGGATTTCCCGGAATAATGTCATCTTCGATATCTACAGAGGGCTTAGATTGTCATTTGTCAGCTAAAAATTGTCAAAATTTCAGGACAAAGGACAAAGGGCAATTGTGAGAGCCCCTGATCTCTAAATCTTTCTAATATTATGCAGACAGTTAGTTAATATGTAGATACAAACATGACTAAACGGAATTTGGGTACACTTACTGTCTTTCATATTTACGGAGGGCCTAAAGTGCCAGTTTGATATTCAAAATATATAGTGTGAACCTACCTGAGACCGCTTAAATGAGGGTGAGACCCCTGGTCTTTCAATGTCCATAAAATTCAACTAAATCATAGACTCTCTATATATAAAGGTTGTATTAGAAGGATTTCCCAGAATAATGTCATCTTCGATATCTACGGAGGGCTTAGATTGACACTTTTCAGCTAAAAATTGTCAAAATTTCAGGACAAAGGGCACAGGGCAATATGAGAGCCCTCTGATCTCTTAAGAGGTCTCAGGTAGGTTTACCCTATATATTTCTGTTTTGGGCTTTCTATAAATATTTCTATTTATATTTCTAAATTTTTCTAGAGTTATCGGTTTTTCTTTTTTTAAAGAAATATCATAAAAAAATTACATCTTTGAAGTCGTTTTATTGATAAAAATCTACATTACATAAAGACAAATATGCAACTTACAAAAGGGTTTTTTATTCGAGGACAATGAGAATTTACGACAACTTGAAGGGGTCATTAAAAGATTTTTTACGTATTTTATCAGTCCTCTTAACTATGAAAATCATGCTTTTAATGTTATCAAGTATTTAATTTTTTAATGATTTTCAACTAAATTTGAATATCGAACCGACTGCTAGGAGCCGGTTGGATATTGAATATCAAATATCGAATAACGAACCGGCTGCTAACTTCACATACATACGAGCAATGCCAAAAAATAACATGTTTGTACAAATAATTGTGAGGGTAGAAATTACTATGCCATGGCTTGATTAATCTATTATGCCTATGTATATAAATAAACGCATTGATATTTGATCTGATTTATCAAACCTAGTTAACTTAAATATTAATTTATTTTGTTTTCCCAGGGCCTGTTAAAGTATGGGTTTTATTAATGGGTTAAAGACCTTACTGTTACTTGTAGTTATTTACATCCTTGACTTCATTTAGAATAAAACCACATCTACTTATTCTAATACTGTTATATACCTTCTTCATTCCTAGAATGTTCATTTATCACAGTAACTGTGTCACTGTGACCTCTTTCAGATGCAATTATAAAGGATGACTGGTCTTTATTGTTACATTTATTATAATCTGCTCCTATGTCTAACAACATCCTTACTATTCCTTTATGTCCCTCAATACAAGCTGTCATCACAGGTGACCAACCATCACTGTTACATGTATTATAATCTGCTCCTGTGTCCAGCAACACCTTTACTATTTCTGTATGTCCATATCTACAAGCTTGCATTAAAGGTGACCAACCATCAATGCTACATTTATTAAAATCTGCTCCTGTGTCTAACAACATCTTTACAATTTCGGTATGTTCATATCTACAAGCTTGCATCACAGGTGACCAATCATCAATCTTACATTTATAATAAACTGCTCCTGTTTCTACCAACATCCTCACTATTTCTGTATGTCCATATCTACAAGCATTCATTACAGGTGACCGACCATCACTGTCACATTTATTAAAATCGGCTCCTGTGTCTAACAACATCCTTACTATTTCGGTATGTCCCTCAATACAAGCATGCATTACAGGTGACAAACCATCACTTTTACATTTATTATAATCTGCTCCTATGTCTAACAACATCTTTACTATTTCTGTATGTCCATATCTACAAGCACACATTACAGGTGACCAACCATCACTGTCACATTTATTATAGTCTGCTCCAGTGTCTAACAACATCATTAATATTTCTGTATTTCCATCTATACAAGCATGCATTACAGGTGACCAACCATCACTTTTACATTTATTATAATCTACTCCTATGTCTAACAACATCCTTACTATTTCTGTATGTCCATATCTACAAGCACACATTACAGGTGACCAACCCGTACTGTTACATTTATTAAAAGCTGCTCCTGTGTCTAACAACATTCTTACTATTTCAGTATGTCCAGATCTACAAGCACTCATTATAGGTGACCAACCATCACTGTTACATTTATCATAATCTGCTCCTGTGTCTAACAACATCCTTACAATTCTGTATGTCCATATCTAGAAGCTAGCATTACCGGTGACCAACCATCACTGTTACATTTATAATAATCTGCTCCGATGTCTAACAACATCCTCACTATTTTTGTATGTCCCTCAATACAAGTCATCAACAAAGGTGACCAACCATCACTGTCATATGTATTATAATCTGTTCCTGTGTCTAGCAACATCTTTACTATTTCTGTATGTCCATATCTACAAGCACTCATTACAGGTGACACATCATAACTGTTACATTTATCATAATCTGCTCTTGTGTCTAACAACATCCTTACTATTTCTGTATGACCACTTCCACAGGCATGCATTACAGGTGACCAACCATCATTGTCACATTTATTATAATCTGCTCCTGTGTCTAACAACATCCTTACTATTTCTGTATGTCCATATCTACAAGCATGCATTACCGGCGACCAACCATTATTGTCACATTTATTATAATCTGCGCCTATGTCTAACAACATCCTTACTATTTCTGTATGTCCCTCAATACAAGTCATCAACACAGGTGACAAACCAACACTGTCACATGTATTATAATTGGTTCCTTTGTCTAACAACATCTTTACTATTTCTGTATGTCCATATCTACAAGCACTCATTACAGGTGACAAACCGTTTCTGTTACATTTATTATAATCTGTGCCTGTGTCTAACAAAATCCTTACTATTTCTGTATGACCACTTCCACAAGCATGCATTACAGGTGACCAACCATCATTGTCACATTTATTGTAATCTGCTCCTGTGTCTAACAACATCCTTACTATTTTTGTATGTCCATATCTACAAGCAGTCATTACAGGTGACCAACCTTCACTGTTACATTTTGTATAGTCTGCTCCTGTGCCTAACAACATCCTCACTATTTCTGTATGCCCATTTATACAAGCATGCATCACAGGTGACCAACCATCACTGTTACATTTATCATAATCTGCTCCTGTGTCTAACAACATCTTTACTATCTGTGTATGTCCATATCTACAAGCACTCATAACAGGTGACAAACCCTTACTGTTACATTTATTATAATTTGCTCTAGTGTCTAACAACATCCGTACTATTTGTGTATGTCCATATCTACAAGCATGCATTACAGGTGACCAACCATCACTGTCACATGTATTATAATCTGCTCCTGTGTCTAATAACATCTTTACTATTTCTGTATGTCCATATCTACAAGCACTCATTACAGGTGACCAACCATTACTGTTACATTTATTATAATTTGCACCATGATTTAAACACCAAGAAATCATAGGAATATCACCAAGAACACATAATAGTAATAGTATCGTTTCATTGTAACGTGCATCACATGTGTGTGCTAATTGTCTCTGATAAGATGTGTTCAGTCCATTTAAATAACAGAGAAATCTCTGTCTGAACTGAGGTGTCCTCATATTCTTGTTTAAAACCACTTCCCTGACTTTACCCTTTGACCAGTCATCCATCATTCTTTGTATGTACATTTGATGAAACTTAGGAGGCACAATTGATATAAACTGATCCACATTGTCTTGGTATTTTAACATAAATCTTTCCCTGATTAAACTAATATGTGCATTTTTTATCAAGCACTGGATTATTTTCTGTCCAAAGTAGTACACAAGAAAGTCAAATATTTTATCATGAATGGTTCTGTAAATGTTTTGTTCCTTTTTCAGAAATGTCTGTATCAATGAGTTAAGTTCGTCCTGTAATTTTAGCCTTGATGTTCCTCTGTCCAGTTTACATGCCTCACATGTGTTCTCAATGATAGCTCTTGTTTCTTCATTCACCTCTTCTGTTAACGTTTCTTCCTTCATATGGTTGTTAAACATAACACATAAAGCCAAGGCACAGTATTTACTGGAAAATCCTTTTTTCTGTAGCTTGTCAATCTCTGCTTCATAAACTGAAAAGGGCTTATTGAAGAAATCTGTAATATTCGGTGAAGGATTTTCTTGGTACAATTTACATAAAAGTGGGAAGCAATCATATAAATCATAACAATCTGAAATATCAGGAGCTTTATTTTTAAGATATATTTCAGCTATTGACTTCTTTTCAGCTTTTGACATGCATATGCTATCTGATAAAAGGTTACACACGCATGATTTGAAAACTGATAAAGATTCGAATTTGTCATCCTGGTACACTTGAAATCGACATGCTACAATTATTTTAGCATTTTTTTTTTTTGGAAAGAATCTTTTTTATTTGCTCAATGAATGGTTCCCAAACTTTCATGTCAGTCTGATTTAAAGAATAGTTCCCACATAAATCATCAATGACAAACAATGTCTTCTTGTTCGGGTTATAAAACTTGACAATGTCACCTGGGTCTCTTACTAAAAGTACATCGTACCCTTCTGCTGACATCTGTAAAGCCACATGTCGAAGTATGGCTGTCTTACCAACACCTGAACTAGCGGTAATAGTCACATTACTGTTCTCCTTTATACATTTCAGTACATGTTTGGCAGCTCTGGTTGTTATAAACGTCTTGTTGTTGTCCTTCCATTCCACAAGATTCTGACTGATTTGTGCTAAAATAAAAATTATTGAATACTAGCACGTATTACGGACTTTATTTAAGTGATTCTGGTGTTCATATAATTGTGATTTTCTTTGAACTTCAACTAGTTTTATTGAAGAGTCACTGTCTTTAGTCACAACTGTGTTTTGATTTTTGGCATTTTGTTGTTGTTTCAATGATATATATCTAGCATCTCTTTTTATTCATTTTGTAAATGGCCTCATTGCAATTTTCTAAGGGAGTCAGTATATATGTATTGCTTCTTTTATACTATCGTATCTTTTATATTTCAATTTTGCAGTGTTGCTTTTGTGTTCTCATATTGTTGGGTTACTGTCTCATTTACATGATCACCACTTCTCTTATTATATTACTGAGTTAGACATGTTTGCTATTCAAGGTCGTAAGATGACAAAACTCTTAAATAATATCATTTACTTGATAAACATGTTTGATAAATCTAGTAAAAGTAGCTATTAAACTTTTCAAGTCACTCCCTAAAATATCAGATCAGTTAAGAGTTTATGCTTTTCAGCAACTTCTTTTAAACCACAATATAAATCTCACAAGAGCCTGAATCGCTCACCAGGAAAAGTGTTTTTCTTATATTTGTTTTCACTTAATTCATTCAGTTATGTTTGCTTATTTGTAAATCGTATTTAGTGGCTTTTGCGTAGGTCTTGTGTTGAAGATCATTTTTACTGTTTTCTGTTTATATATCTATTAAAGACTTTGAGATACAAACGTTATATAATGGCAGTAAATCTTACAGTTGTGACAATTTGTCCGTAACAAAATAGATGTGGTATGATTGCCAATGAGATTATTCTCGACCAGAGACAAAATGACATAGAAGTTAACAACTATAGGTCATCGTTCGGACTCAATAATGAGCAAAAACCCCTAACCAAATAGTAAGCTATAAGAGACATCAAAATGACAAATGTAAAACAATTCAAACAAGAAGACTTATGGCCTGATTTACTTACTTTTATATCTTTATGTTGCGGACCGTTTGGTTGTTATAGTTTCTCTCTTACTTTACTCTTATAGTTTTGACAAAATGCAAAAAAGAATGAAAATCATCAATCAGAGAAAATAACTTCGAAAAGGAGTATTTTGGCAATAATGATTGATTTGTATATCTTATTATGTTTAAAAATGTTTGCTTCTTATTTTGACTGATTCTCTCTATCTCTCATAGGCTGTGGAGGAAACAAATCTTTCTATGTCAACTCCTCCTCTCAGGGGTCAGTTGACTTATTTTGTAGATCTTATTTTGCTCTACATTTTTACTAGATATTGTTGATTTCTATCTATCTTTGTTTCTGCAAATGAGTCATAACCTTGGTAACAATCATTCAGGGGCAATAACTCGTAAAATGTGTCAGTTAACAATTTTTTTTATGTGAATTTTTTTGGAGATCTTGTGCATGTCGTGCTTATTATCTTTTCTATTTACAATTGCTCTCTACCTATAATGCTTTCTGCAATAAAAAAAAAATACACAAAAAAACAAATGTTCATGGGCAGTAATACCTATTACTGGTCAATTGACTCCTTTAACGGATCATTAGATTATTGTTCTGGTCATTTTTATTGTTAACATTTATCTCTATCGGTTATAGTTTTCAAGAATAACCAAAAACTGCGAAATTTGCGAAAAAAACCCACTAACATTCCAACCTGATTACCATTGGATTATTTTTAAAATTTAAATCTGAGTACCAGAGGATTACCGCTAACATTCCAACTTGATCACGAAAGGATTATCTTTAGTATTCAAACCTGATCACCAGAGAATTATCATTAACTTTCTAACATTATCACCAGAGGATTACCTCTTATATTACAACCTAATGACCAAAGGATAATTTTTGATAATCAAACCTGATCACCAGAGGATAATCTCTAAAGGTCTAACCTGATCACACTACGTTTTTTGTCTAAAAGAAATGCAATACGATATAACTAGCCAACATAGGATTGTCTCTCACATTTGAACTTGACCAACAGAGGATTCTGACTCACATTTCAACCTGATCACCAGAGCATTATCTATAACATTCCAACGTGATCACCAGATGATTAACTTTAACATTTCAACTTGATCACCTGATTATAAGGGCTAACATTTCAACCTGATCACTAGAGGGTAGCCTTTAACATTCCAACCTGATGACCAGAGGATTATCTGTAACAATCCAACTAGATCACCAGAGTTTTAAATCTAATATTCCAACCTGATCAATAGAGGATTATCTCTAACAATCCAACAAGATCACCAGAGGCTTAAATCTAACATTCCATTCTGATCATCAGAGGATTAACTCTTATATTCCAATCTGATCACCAGAAGATTATTACCAACATTCCAACCTGATCAACAGAGGGTTACCTCTGCCATTACAACCTGATGACCAGAGGATTATCTGTAATTTTCAAACAAGATCACCAGAGGTTTAAATCTAACATTCAAATCTGATCATCAAAGGATTAACCCTTATATTCCAATTTGTCACCAGAGGATTAATACTAACATTCCAACCTGATGACCAGATGATCATCTGTAACATTCCAACAAGATCACATGAGGTTTAAATCTAACATTCCTACCTGATCAACAGAGGTTTAAATCATATATTCCAATTTGATAACCAGAAGATTATCTCTAACATTCGAACAAGTTCACCAGAGGTTTAAATCTAACATTCCAACCTCACCACCCAAGGATGATCTCTTTTATTTCAACCGCATCACTAGAGGATTAATACTTATATTCCAACCTCACCACCAGAGGATGATCTCTTATATTCCAACCTGATCACCAGACTATTAATACTAACATTCTAACTGATCAACAGAGAATTACCTCTAACATTCAAACCTGATCACCAGCTGATTACCTGTAACAATCCAACAAGATCACCTGAGGTTTAAATCTAACATTCTTACCTCACCACTAGAGGATGATCTCTTATATTAAAACCCGATTACTAGAGTATTAATACTCACATTCCAGACCTGATCAACAGAGGATTATCCCTTATATTCCAATATGATCATCAGTGGATTAATACTAACAGTCAACCTAACCAATAGAGGATTATCTTTAACATTCAAAAGTATCAATTGTACTTCCCTTTGTTTACCTCTTACATTCCATGGCACTGTATCTTTTAATTTTTCTACTTCCACTGTCAAACTCTCCACTGATTGTTTTAAATCCCTTATTTCATCGTTTGAACGCTTAATGTAGAACATTATTTCTTGGTTATTTTGGTCCAATATCTTTGTTATCAAATTATCACACTCCTGCTTCATTGATAGTCCACCTAATCTACTGACAGCCTAGAATGTTATGTAGTAGTTGAGAAAAGTCATTAAATCATAATAAAGGGGGAGGGGTCAGAATAATCTCTATAGAAATTAGACGTGTAAATGATTATGCAACGACATACCAAATATCACTGACTTACCATTATCTTTCAGGTGATAATGCCAAGCATTAAAAAGTAAACAATATTTTTTATACAATGGAGCATGACTGAAGGTTTTGGCTAAACAATCTACATAAAAAATGAGATGTTAATGTTAATGCAACTGAATATTATTGACCTAGCATTACGGGGTTCATCTTAAAGCGCAATGATAAATTACACGTTAAAAACGAAAAGTTTAAAAGTTAATGGAGCACGACTGAGTGGGTTGAGCCAAGTACTCTTCATCGAAATAAGATGTGTTCACAGTTACACAGTTGTCTTTCATGTAACATTAAGTTCCATTCTACCTAAGAATGTTAAGTTCAGAATGTATAACTGAGCACAAATATACCATTCGTTTCCTTTTCATGTTCTAGTATTTCAAGAAATGATTGGTTGAAATGCACTAAAATTAACAATTAAGGGGAGATAACTCCGTAATTTTCTATTATTCCAACCAAAAGTCATCTAGATATTTCTCGAATTACTAGACACTCAGAATCGAAAGACCTACCATTTCAAGTTTTCAAACAAGATACCCCGAAACCTCACATGGCTCCCATGCCATAAATCTGTCACATATAAATTGGGCTCTACTAAGCAATGATTCTCTAACACCTAAATGTGCCTGTCCAAAGCCACAAATATGCCCCTAATTAATGTGTTTGTCCTAAGGACAACTTTCTATTCATGTATTAAGCACAAGCCTGGCACATTTTATTATGCTTGCTCCCAGCACAAACCATGCAAAGCTTATTGTGCATATCCTTAGCCACAAACCTGCCATATCTTAATATGCCTGTACCAAGTCATGAACCTACTACAACTTATATGTACTTGACCCAAGCTACAAACCTTCCACACCTTATTGTATCTCTCTCTAGCTACAAACCTTTTCCACATTAATGTAATTGTACCAAGCACAAAACTGGCACACCTAAAATAGTCTATACATATCAAGAAACATCTTGCCACATAGTACGTTGTCTGTACTAAGTAAAAACCAAGCATACCTTAATATCACTGTGCTAAGCACAAACCTGGAATACGTTAATGTGCCTATCTTTAGCCACAAACCTGCCACATCTTAATGTGCCCGTACAAAGCACAAATCCGGCACATCTTAATGTGTC